GTCTCTAGCAAATGGTGCCAGGAGAACTGGACAGCAACATGCAGAAGAATGAAACTGGACCACGTTATTATACCATACACAAAAATAAATTCAAAATGGATGAAAGGCCTAAATGTGAGACAGGAAAGCATCAAAATCCTAGAAGAGAAAGCAGGCAACAACCTCTTTTACCTCAGGCATAGCAAATTCTTACTTGACACGTCTCTGAAGGCAAAAGAAACAAAATTAAAAATTAACTATTGGGACCTCATCAAGATAAGAAGCTTCTGCACAGCAAAAAAACAATCAACAAAACTAAAAGACAACCAACGGAATGGAAGAAGATATTTGCAAATGACATATTGGGTAGAGGGTTAGTATCCAAAATCTATAAAGCACTTACGAAACTCAACACCCAAAAAACCAATAATCCAATGAAGAAATAAGCAAAAGGCATGAATAGACACTTTCCAAAGAAGACATCCAGATGCTCAACATTGGCTCATCATCAGGGAAATACAAATCAAAACTACATTGAGATATCACCTCACACTGGTCAGAGTGGCTAAAATTATCAATTCAGGAAAGAATAGATGTTGGTGAGGATGGAGAAAGGGGAACTCTTTTGCACTGTTGGTGGGAATGCAAACTGGTGCAGCCACTCTGGAAAACAGTATGGAAGTTCCTCAAAAAATTAAAGATACAACTGCCCTTCTACCCAGCAATAGCACTACTAGGAATTTATCCAAAGAATATAGAGTGTTGATTCATGGGAGAACATGTACCTGAATATTTATAGCAGCACTATCAACAATAGCAAAATTATGGGAAGAGCCCAAATGTCCATCAACTGGTGAATGGATAAATAATAAGTGGGATATTTATAAAATGCAATACTACTTGGCAATGAAAAAGAATGAAATCTTGCCATTTGCAATGACATGGATGGAACTGGAGGGTATTATCCTAAGTGAAATAAGTCAGTTAGAGAAAGACAGATATCATATGTTTTCACTCATATGTGGAAGTTGAGAAACTTAGCAGAGCACTGTGGGGGAAGGAAAAAAAATAGTTACAATCAGAGAGGGAAACAAACCATAAGAGACCTTTAAATACAGACAACAAACTGAGGATGGAAGGGGTGAAGAAAATGGGTGATGGGCATTGAGGAAGGCACTTGTTGGGATGAGCACTGGGTGCTTCATGTAAGTGATGAATCATGGAAATCTACTCCCAAAGCCAAGAGCACACTGTATACGCTGCATGTTAGCTAACTTGACAATAAATTATATTTAAAAATGAAACTAAAAAGTAAATAAATAAAACCCTGTAATATGATACCACAAGAACATAACAGAATGTTTATAATCAAAATACTGAAAAAATGGTGAAAATGAGAAGAAATGGAATACAAAAATATACAGCAACTTTAGAAAACAGTTTGGTAGTTTCTTAAACAATTAAACATGTACTTAACATAAACCCAGTCATTCTACTCCTAGGTATATACCCAAGAGAAATAAAAAAAAGATCTATACAAAGGATTTTAGTGTATGTTCATAGCCATCTCATTCTTAATAGCAAGATAATAGCAGTACACACATATATCAACTATTAAATGAATAAATAAAATGTGGTATATGCATGGAATATTATTTAGCAATTAAAAAGCGGCTAACTACCAATACATGAAACAGTGTGAATGAACCCTAGAAACATTCTAGGTGAAAAAGCTACACACAAAACACTACATATTTTATGATACCTTTTACATGAAATTTCTAGAAAAGGACACTGTGCAGAAAGAAAGCATATCAGAGGTTGCCTAGGGTTCGCTGTAGGAATGAGTGAGAATTGACTCCAAACAGCTATAAGGAATCTAGATTCTGATTATGGTTACACATTAATAAATTTACTAAATATCGAACCACAGAATTAGAATAGTTGAATTTTATGGTGTGTAAAGTTAAGCTCTTAAGAAAAATTTGCAGCATCTCACAAGTCCATGTAAATTCATAACTATTAGGCAAATGAACTTAAAGTGAGCATACAGAAAGAAATTGATTTAAGTTTAAAAAATTGAATTTGAGATATTTAGCCAGGATGCAGGAAAGAGAGCTAGATATCATCGTGGTGTACACATTATTAAGGTTTTCTCCTAAATCTGTCAGCCCAAATTATGGAATTAAATAAAAATAGAAAATAAAATGTTATAAAAATAGGTAATGGTAAGTGGGTTATAATGAAGTAGCCTCCTTTACTATTGCACGTGAACATCTTTCATAGGCACATTAAATTTATTTTTCATGATCGTCTTTTTTAAGGTCAAAGGGGAAGGCTATACCCCAGTGGAAGAGGTTTAAGTCTCTCCTCTGAAGAGATGACATTTGCAGTGTCTACCCTTGCAGTACAGAAGATACTGGTGACAAAATCAAAACTCAGAAGGTGGGTTTTAAGAGGGAGAAAAAATTCTAAATTCTTTCTGAGTCTGAGTAGTGATGGAGTCGCGTGGGAGGAGACTACAGAAGGTCACTGACACCATGTAGTTATATCAAAAATAAAATGAGAGGAGCTTGGATGGTTCAGTCGGTTAAGCATCCAACTCTTGATTGCGGCTCAGGTCATGTTCTCACAGTTTATGGGATGGAGCCCAGTGCAGAGCCTGCTTAGAATTCTCTCCCTCCCTCTCTTTCTGCCCTTCTCTTGCTCATGTACTCTCTCTCTTTCTTTCAAAATAAATAAACATTTTAAAAGGTAAATAAATAAAAATAAAAAAAACTTCAGTCTGAAACCATGAAACCTAAAAGAAATTTTAAAACAGGGGTGCCTGGGTGGTTCAGTCGGTTGTGTCTGACTTCGGCTCAGGTCATGATCTTGCGATCTGTGAGTTGAAGCCCCGTGTTGGGCTCTGTGCTGACAGCTCAGAGCCTGGAGCCTGCTTCGGATTCTGTGTCTCCCTCTCTCTCTCTGCCCCTCCCCTGCTCATGCTCTGTCTCTCTCTCTCTGTCAAAAATAAATAAACATTAAAAAAATTAAAAATTTAAAACAATAACCAGGGCATACTTTATTTGATCCCTTCTCATGACATAATACAAGTTTAAAATAAGGAAAAAAAAAAGGTTTTTGAAATGTTCACATTAATTTGTAGGTGGCAGGAGAATTTGCTGAATTGAAATTACCTGGATTGGGATACGACTGTGTGTCCAGAATTTCTCTCACTACTTACTCACCATTTGCTCTTCAGTAACCACCTAGCACATTGCCTGGTACACACTAGATAATCAATCTACAGTTGATGAATGAATGAGTACCTCATGATTTTCAAAGTTTTTTGGGGGAATTAAGATTTTAATGACTAACCTATTGAATATTTAACATCTATTGGCAAACACTGATCTGTTAAATGCACCTTGGTGTCATTTTTGGATGGACCTAATAAACAGACCATTAAGATAGCCGAGTTAGTCATTTCTTACGTTTTTATTTTATTTTAAAAAATATTTATTTCTTTGTTTTGAGAGGGAGAGAGAGCACACATGCAAGCAGAAGAGGGACAGAGAGAGGGAGAGAGAGAGAACCCCAAGCAGGCTCCAGACTGATAGCATGGAGCCAGATGCAGGGCTTGGTCTCACAAACCCATGAGATCATGACTTGAGCCAAATTAAGATTCAGACACTTAACTGACTGAGCCACCCAGGTGCCCATTTCTCGCATTTTTATTATCAGCCCTACAAAACATATTCCTCCTGAATACTCCATTTCCTACCCTATATCCCTCCCATCTCCCTAGATATTTAGCATGTATGTGTTTATTTCTATACAGTTTGGCTAGTCATATTTGTATTTTTATGGCCCTGTCACTGTGCCTATATAGTTACTTTTTGTTTTTATGTGCTTGGTCATGATTTTTTCATGTTTTTCTTGTAATCCCATTGTGTCATAAGTGTCCTAAAGTATCTGAAAATTTGTTATACAATGTAAAGCACTGGCTAAATGTAAGGTATTAAAGATACAAAACTGAAATCAACATTTTGAGGACAATGGATCAATTTAAATTGAATTCTTTTTAAAACTCTATGTGTACTTAATAAAGTATAAGAAAAATCAGTACAAATGGAATAGGAAATGATTATATACAGGTAACCTATGGTTACAGATATACTTTGTGCTATAATTGGGATATTAAGTTTACTCAGTAAGTTAGTGCATTTTGCTCAGCTTTATGTTTCGTTATTTGAGAAACACAGCATAAAGTAAAGTGTAGCATTAAAAGCCAGCTTCATTGCAATTTATTTTTATAGCATAGTGCAAAACAACCCAAGCTGAAAGTACATACAGGCACTCAGACTTAAATCCCTAAAGGTAAGAAAGTAGTTCCATAAACAGATGTGATCATGGATTCTGAGTTTATTTGCTTGTGGCAAAAATAAAAGTACCAACTCAATAAGTTTTAATTTATAGGCATCTCCACCAGAAAGCCTTTGGGCACTTTGAACAAAACTGACTAAAAATAAAATTTAGTGAAAAAAAACAAAACAAAACAAAAAAAACCCCAACCTAATCTGCCCCATTCTCCACTCACATGAGGGAATATAAATTCTCACCTGGGTAGAGAAGAGATTTCCTTATGTCTTTTCTAGGTGATTTCCTGGAACGGTAGCTATGCTTTGCTCTAGAAGAGAATTTTATGATTGGGGGCATTCCTGCCATTTGAGAATATGAGAGAGGAGCTATGGATGGTGACTCTACCTCTAGGTTTTCTGATCACCACAGCCCCATAGGTTAGTTATGGTCATGCAGACATGTAGAGCCTTTCTGTTCTCACCCAAAGGAAATATTATTTGCCCATTTTCCTTAGCAGGAAGTTCATGTATATATAAACTGGGCTCGTACTTAGACCTGAACATCAGGAAATTCTATGATTGTATCACTGGTCATATGATAGACTGGAAATCCTTATATTTCTTCTGTAAATAAAAGAATAGACACATATGAGGGCCTGACCTTGCAGGCCTACTTACCTCACATTTTGTTCCTCCAGGGTCTCACTTGTGAATTCCAGTATGTCAGCAGCTGTTCCCACAAACATAAGGAGAAGTTGAGAGAGTTGGTCCCTAGTGATCCCGCCTCCAATGGGTAGAAGCCATCTTCCAATTATGAGCATTAGCAAGAATGTCTGATGGAGTCCCAAAGTCCAAACTTTTTCACATACTGTAGATAAGTTATTTACAAAAACTTTGGCCTGTGTAACAGAAATGTCATACAGAGAGAAGGACCATGAGCTGCCACCTTGGAAAGTGATGCCATCTTCACCATGGCTTTCAATCCACAGTTTTTGTGGAAGGTCATTTTCATAAAAATGATTCTTCACTTACTAAAGAAAATAAAGCTCCTTTCAACTGAAGACTCTGGAGAAAAAAAGCTAACATGGTTCTTAAAATGGGGCAGCCTTATAAGAAGTAATTTAAACCTCACACTTGCTAGTAGGATTGTAACATTTGGTATTTAAAGAGCCAATCTGATGACGTTTTAAAGATCACTTCTCATTTTACTTTCTCTGTAACAAAGTATGACACAACACATAGCAAAACTTTTTAAATACCATATTAAAATCACAAAAAAATCCTTGTATTTTTCTTTCAGAGATTTCAAGTCTGAATTTAGTAATCTGGGAATATTTTAACATGGTACAAATCTCTTGTTTTTTATTGCTCTAAAACACTGCTACATCAAATGAGAGAATGCATAATAATGTTTATTAGTTACGTAAATGTAAAGAAAGAGACTAACTATAGTTACTATTTTTATTTTGAACATTTAACATAATTGAAAAATCTATAAGCTAGCAACCAAATTTTATTCTGCCTTTAATCTTGGACTCTGAGAAAAATTTACACCCCTTTCTTGTTTTCTGAATGATATCTCTTGCCCGTTTAACTTCTAAATCAGTTTTAAATTATATCACTGGCCCTCAGAGGCTATAATCTTTTAAAGACCAGGAATGTTGGTCTCCGGTGGATTGGATAGTTGATTCTGATTTATACAAGTAACTTGACTATGTTTGTGCAAATCTATTTACTCCTCTCAATTACTTACTGATGTACAGGTAAAGGCAGGATAAGACAAGGCAGGATGCTAACCTGATTGAAGCCACGCATGAAGATCAGTGATCTTGCCTTTACACACTATTTCATATTTCTTCTATGAGACTTCATATACATCTTACTCAATTCTTTTTTTTATGTTTATTTATTTTTGAGAGAGAGAGGGACAGAGTGTGAGTGGGAGAGGGGCAGAGAGAGAGGGAGACACAGAATCTGAAGCAGGCTCCAGGCTCTGAGCTGGCAGCACAGAGCCTGACGCAGGGCTTGAACTCATGAACCGCGAGATCATGACCTGAGCCAAAGTCAGACACTTAACTGACTGAGCCACCCAAGTGCCCCATACATCCTACTTAATTCTTAGAGGAAGCATACTAGTGGGGTAGATATTAATACTTTCAACTGTCAGATGAAAAACTGAGATACAGAGAGATTAAGTGATTTTTTCAAAGTGATGTCAGTCAGCTGTGACGGGAGCTTGATTTAGAATCCATGAATTAGACTGAATTAAATCTCTTAGAATCAATAATCTATCTTATTGTTGAAACCATGGCTCATTGGTACAGGCCTGGGCCTCGAGTCTCTCCCATATATCATTTCCTAATAGGCCATGGTTAGTTTGACAAATATCAGGCATGTGAAGAACAAAGAAGTAATTCTATTTTGGCTGAAAATCTTCCCTATTTTATTCATGTAAACTCCTAAAATATATACAGGACAGATCCCAATCTTTTAACTATATCATTCCTTTACCAAAAATATGTATCTCCCTTTGTGCAAACATTGTCTGACCTAAGTGTTATAGGTTACTTAATGCTGCAAGTTAAATATACCTATTAATATACAGGTATATTAGATATATATGACTATTATGCATGTTAAATGTGTTTAATAAATATAAAAATACAATTGTTTTGCAAAATCCTGAGCAAACGATTAAATGATTGGCAAATTTCCTTAGGAAAGAATGAGCTGCAAGGTGTAGAGCATGTTATTCTCACCAAATGAAAAGGTGATTTGCCAGATACTTTAAAATACAGTGGAAAAAGCTCTCACCGTCTTAATGAGATCATCTGCTCCATTGGCTTGTTCACTTGACATCAAAGTTTGATTGAAGTTTTCTTTGCTGCTGGTATTTTGTGACATCCCTTCAGATTGGCTACTGCAATGCTAAGAATTTTGTAAAAAGGCAATATGTAAAAAAAAAAAAAAAAAAAAAAAAAAAAAAAACATACAATAGGTAGAGTTCCAAGTGGCTTCAATTATTTAAGCAATTATGAGTAGATATGCGGAGTTTACACAGCATGCATAAACATTTCCAAAAATCAGATTATAGTCTTGAGATAGAAAACCACTTTTCAATTAATATGAGAGCAGACTCAACTATACATGTTTTATTTTCCCACAAGTCTATGAGGATGTAGAAGCTCCAAGTTCATTGTGCAGAGCTGTAGAATGTTTTAAGTTTTAATTTTAATTCCAATTAATACACATACAGTGTTATATTAGTTTCAGGTGTACAATATAGTGATTTAACAATTTCATACATCACCCAGTGCTCATCTCAAGTGCACTCCTTAATCCTGATCACCTATTTAACTCACCCCCACCCCCACCCCAGCTCCTCTCTGGTAACCATCAGTTTGTTCTCTATAATTGTCCGGTTTTTTTGTTTGTTTGTTTTGTCTCTCTTTTTTTCCCCCCTTTGATCATTTGTTTTTTTCTTATATTCCACATATGAGTGAAATTATATGGTATTTGTCTTTCTCTGACTGGCTTATTTCACTTAGCATTATACTCTCTAGCTTTATCCATGTCATTGCAAATGGCAAGATTTCAGTCTTTTATATGGCTGAATAATATTCCGTTGAATATATATACCACCTCTTCTTTATCCATTCATTTATCGATGGACACTTGGGCTGCTTCCATAATTGGGCTATTATAAATATGCTGCCATAAAAATAGGGGTGAATATATCCCTTTGAATTAGTGTTTTGTATTAATCGGGTAAATACCTCATAGTACAATTGCTGGATCCTAAGGTAGTTCTAGCTTTAACTTTCTGAGGAACCTTCATACTGTTTTCCACATTGGCTGCACCAGTTTGCATTCCCATCAACAGTGCACAAGGGTTCGTTTTTCTCCACATCCTTGCCAGCACTGTTCTTTCTTGTGTTGTTGATTTTAGCCATTCTGACACGTGTGAGGTGATATCTCATTATAGCTCTGATTTGCATTTCCCTGATAAGTGGTGATGTGCATCTTTTCATGTGTCTTTTGGCCATCTGTATGTCTTCTTTGGAGAAATATCTGTTCATGACTTCTGCCCATTTTT